GATACGATTTATCATGATAGGAAGTATCATGCTTAGTATCCCTCAGTATCTCTCCACAACCGCTGACGCTTTTCTTGAGGAAGGCCGACAAGTTTCAATGGTTGGTGGGCGAATTTGGGAGTGCGTGCTGAAGAATGCTACGAATGCGAACTTAGAAAAAAAGGAAGGTGATGAACGTAAGGAAAAGTCTTTGGCCATGAAATATTCAATACTACATTGAGGTCTGTCGTAGTATAGGTCTCGCTGAGTCAGTTGCTGACTGAGATGATTCCTAGTGATCAGGTGTTCAGAATTCGTTATAAGGGATTCGTATAATCTTACCAGTGTTTCATCAATGAATGAGGTTTCGAGGTCACTGGTTTGCGTCATTTTCCTAATCTCTCCCCCCCCCCATACACATTAGCGAAGAGGCGGGGCCAGAAGCTGTGAATCGACCCCTGCAACCATGAATAGGTGAGTACACATACATAATAAATAAATTATATATATATATATATATATATATATATATATATATATATATATATATATATATATATATATATATTATATATATATATATTATTATCACCATGGTGGACCATTAAATGTTTGTTTTTCTTTTTTTTTTCTTTCTTCATTTCTCTTACTTCTCGTTTTTATTTCTCACATAACACAAAAAGCCTCATCTGACTGCTTTCAAATGTTCAGCACAGGTGTACGGTAATTAGGGCAAGATTCTTGAAACAATTGGCAAGTTAAGATACTGTATGAGCAAAGTTGTATAACCTACTAACGGCTTCAGTATTTAATGGCTGATGCATCTTATGACGAGGATAGCAGTATTAAGTAGTGTGTGTGTGTGTGTGTGTGTGTGTGTGTGTGTGTGTGTGTGTGTGTGTGTGTGTGTGTGTGTGTTCTTGTGGGTAAATTTGTCAATATACTAAATTGATTAAACTTGGAATAGTTGGAATAACTGTGATAACTGAAGAATGCCTCTTCTGATCGGCTTCAAATTTTGTGTCCAGATGTGGTTTCCAGAAAGCAATGATCGCGTTGATACTGAGCCTCATACATCCCACTTTGCCAGTTTTATCACATAATGTTTTCATTTAAAAACGGAAGAATGCTTTATCTTATCGGCTTCAAACCATCAAAGTTAATACATCCCATAAGTATAAGTAGTTTAAAGTGAGGAGAAATTTAATATATATATATAATATATATATATATATATATATATATATATATATATATATATATATATATGAAACGAAACTGCTAAAAAACTGGAATTGTTAAATTCATAGTAATTACTGATTTTTTTTCTTTGATTGGCTTTAAATTTTCATTGATTATGAATTTTATTAAAAGGAAAGCTTGGCAAATTTGTTATTTTGGTTTCCATTTAATAACTAGAGAATGACTCTTTCGATCGGCTTCAGACAACTATGCGCTAATGTATCATTATTGGAAATTTTTTTTTATTATTGAATTTGGCATTTTTTGAAAAATATATCAAATTGAACTTTGTTAAAAACCATAAAAACAATTTTCCTCTTACAATTGTAGAGAATTAAAAAAAAATGTAATATACTAAAAGGTACGTGGGATACTGAAAATTCGCATTTTAAAAGGGTTTTTGATTTTCACGAATTTAGTGAAGCCTTAAATCACACATTTTTCACGAATTTAGTGAAGCTTTAAATCACACATTTTTCACGAATTTAGTGAAGCCTTAAATCACACATTTTTCACGAATTAAGTGAAGCTTTAAATCACACATTTTTCACGAATTTAGTGAAGCCATAAATCACACATTTTTCACGAATTTAGTGAAGTCATAAATCACACATTTTTCACGAATTTAGTGAAGTCATAAATCACACATTTTTCACGAATTTAGTGAAGCCATAAATCACACATCTTTCACGAATTTAGTGAAGCCTTAAATCACACATTTTTCACGAATTTAGTGAAGCCTTAAATCACACATCTTTCACGAATTTAGTGAAGCCTTGAATCACAAATTTGTCCACAATCCCTCCAGGGGACACCTTTTCCGACTGGTTTTAAATTTTCAGTCATGATCAACAACTTCAAAGTGAAGATTCGTGGAACAATTGATAAGTACTGGAGTCCTCTGCTTAGTTTTATATATCCCATTAGGGTAATTATTTTACATGCAGTAACGTGGAAAACCTCTTTCGTTCGGTTTCGAAATATCAACATTCGTGACTCACGAAATCGTAATAACAGGATTAAAAGCAAACCAGGGTACGGGTGGGGTTTGAACCCATGGCGAGTAAGCCATGTAGCTTACGCATTGGTCTAGAGTTTCACGACTCATTCGCTATAGGATGAACACTCGTGTATCCTATGTAGAGGAAGGCTGGTTTAGTTAATGGAGTGTGTAAGAGCCGTATATGCATTTTAAATCTCTAAATTTAATAAATTATTTATGTAACTGACTTATTTCTAATCAAAGAAGGTGTCTTGATCCTGATGGCAGTCTCTTTATCCAAGGAACTGGACTTAATCTTCCCTTCCATGGATCAAATTTGAGTGCCTCCCACTCCCCAGCGGCTATAGGACCTCCACGAAAATAAAAACATTACCGTGGCTAGATCTATTTGCTATAAACCCGCGTTTAGGAGAGAGACCAAATGACGACGGTTTTCTGTGATAACCTGTAATTACTTCTCAATAATTTGCTTTAAATTTAGATTGATCTATAAGAATCAGATCGAAACATGCTGAGCGCACACATATGGTCAAGATTGATAATAGTTAATATTATATATACATTAATATATATGCTTCCAGTGCATTAGTCAAGAAGATAGTGCCCGAACGCTTGAGAGACTTGGTAGGAGCTCAAGACCCCAGGTTTACTGAAGCAGCGATTCGGTGGGACACCCTTACAGACTCCTCCAGTAGACCAGCTCCTCCCAAACAGCACAAACAGTCCCACTGGGACAAACTGATCATGGAAAAAATCGCCAACACAAAGCTCTCCAATGCTTCAGGAAAGAACAAAGCTCGTCTCCTGGCAGTGAAGGCACCACACTCAGGAGATTTCCTGTTAGCTGTTCCCAATTCCTCCCTGGGCACCCGTCTCGACCCACAGGCCATTCGGATTGGTGTTGCTCTTCGCCTAGCCGCCCCCATCCTCACCGGACATAGGTGTATTTGCGGCAGGGCGACAGCTGATCAATTCGGACTTCATGGTCTCGTGTGCCACACAGCAGAAGGGAAGTATGCCAGACATGAGGAGATCAATGACATAATAAAGAGAAGCCTCGCCACAGCCCGTTGCCCAGCTCAACGGGAACCCCAAGTACACAGGTCTGATGGAAGTCAAAAGCGTCCTGATGGAGCCACTATGCTACCCTGGAAGGATGGAAAGCAGATTGCCTGGGACTACACCTGTGCTGCCACATTGGCAGACACCTACTTGCCATACTCTGTAGTGGAAGGGGGTGGAGCTGCCAGCCACAGGGAGACCCAGAAGATCCGAAAATATGAAGACCTTCCCCTTTGCTATAACTTCATTCCAATAGAGTCGGAGACCCTTGGAGCATGGGGCAAGTGTGCTCTAAAGTTCCTCAAAGAGCTGGGTGAAAAGCTCATCATAGAAACCAAGGACCACAGGGCGACCAGCTTCCTCTTTCAGAGACTCAGTGTTGCGATCCAGAGAGGAAATGCCTGCAGCATTCTGGGCACGCGGCCCACCGCAGGGGAGCTGGACGAAGTATTCGAGATGTAGCTCTGAGTTACCTATGTTGTTTTACTTTCTGATGTATTTTTGTGAATGTTTGGCCAATGTATTTTGTCTTTAAATAAAACATACATGAAATATAGGGGGTGGTAGGAGAAAATTCTCAAACAGCTTCAGGGAGAACCTTGAGTTTTCCCTGAAGCAAGTTTATTCTTTACTCTGAGGAAGAGGGTCCCTATGACAGTTCTAGAGGTGGTACCTCCCTATATATATATATATATATATATATATATATATATATATATATATATATATATATATATATATATAATATATATATATATATTCTAATATATTAATATGTATAATACAAACATTAAGTCTAAGTAGCATGTGGATTCAGATCTGTCTGGACACCTCATCAGATTTATACTGCCTTAGTCTGTTCTGCTTCAGTACACGTAACTTTGGGCACGAAGCACAATATGTTGGTTATCAAAGCCGGACACATCAGTGACTGTGTATTACTTAGAGAGTTACTTTATCTTGTAAATTACTTTCAGTATGTTGGCCACGAGAGATGGGGGAAAATATTTTATGAAATTTAATTTCACCAGTATGTGAATTCGGAATAATACTATTCACAGAGTGCCTTAGTCCACTCGGCAACGTTATAACAGGTCAATGTAGAGAGCCAAAAGTGTTAAAAAAACATATGCCTTTCCCACCAAAATGACTTAAAATTATAAGTATTTAATTGTTTTCGTCGAGTCAAAATACGCATACATCGCAAAAGTAAATTCTAAAAAAAATTATCAGATATGGAGCGAACAAAAATGGTTTTTCTCAGCACAAAGCAGTAAAAGCAGGAAGAGAAATATTGGGGCTTGGCTCAGTGGAGGATGTACTCGGTGTCTGATCAGGCATGTTAAGGCTATCAAACACCCGCGAGTTTGGTGAGGTTGTGATATGTCAAGTTTGTTATATAGTGTATATTATATTATATATATATATATATATATATATATAATATATATATATATATATATATATATATATATATATATTATATTGCATATATTGCGTGTGTGTGTCTGTCTCTGTGTTGTTGGTTTGTGTTTGTGTGTATGTTTGAGTGTACGAGTCGCGCGTGAGTGCGCACTTATAATTAAGGAAGGTGAAATACACAAATGGCTAGTGATGATTCCCAGGTTCATGGTCATGAAATAGGAAAGCTGTGACGTGCACCATGAGCAAGGCCAGGAAGGCAGCTGAACAGTATATAACGCGGAGACATGAAGCCAGCAACAGTACAGTTTGGGTCTGCTGCCTTTCTATAACAACCATGGTCAGTCTTTCATATTTCAAATATCTTAAAGTGATTACAAGTATGTTTTTATGCTTAAAATTATATGATGAATCAATAGTTGTAGAAAAAATTGTCAATATTGCTCGTGAAAGTTGTCTTTCTCTTATTCAGAAACTGTTGCTGGTGACCATTAGTGCTGCTCTCCTGGTGGGATCCTCCAGGGTGAACGGAGGACACATTGGAGGCGGCGGCGGCGGCTTTGGCGGAGGACACATTGGAGGCGGTGGATTTGGAGGCCATGGTGGTGGCGGGTTTGGCGGAGGCCACATTGGAGGCGGTGGATTTGGCGGCGGTGGCTTCTCCGGAGGCCGATATGGAGGACGTGGAGGATTTGGCGGTGGTGGATTTGGAGGCCATGGTGGTGGCGGGTTTGGCGGAGGCCACATTGGAGGCGGCGGGTTTGGCGGAGCATTTGGTGGGGGTAAGGGAGGTTTCGGAGGCTCCCATGGCGGCATTGGTGGAGGATTTGGCGGCGGCGGGATTGGCGGCGGATTCTCTGGAGGACGATATGGAGGACGTGGAGGATTTGGCGGTGGTGGATTTGGTGGTTCCCTCGGAGGGTTTAGTGGAGGATTTGGAGGCTCCCATGGCGGGTTTGGTGGTGGATCTGGTTTTGGTTCTCATGGCGGGAGCTTCGGCCGCAGCTACGGTTAAGGAAAAACATCCTACATTTATTCCAGTTCTTCAACAGTTCTGACAACGAAGATTTGACTGCTGTACCTAATGTCTAATTACTGGTTCTGTACTTTATTTATGTACCACAAATAAACTTTTCCATACCACAAATTACAGCTTCATTTTACCAAGTTTTTAGCATTGAATTAAAACCAAAATGTTACCTCTCTCTGTGTCGAATGAGAAGAAAAGGCGTCCAAATAACCATTACAATGTGTTCGTTTTATACTTAAAAACTTGGCTTATTTCTTATACCTCTGCATACTAAAGTGTCCAACATTGATAGTGGATTATTTTCTTCATTTTCTTCTTTCAATTTAATTTTACTCGGTGAATTGCGATGATCTAGGATACAGTAGTATATGTTGATAAATTAGACACATGTGCAACTCTTGGGTATCTTTATTAAGGAAACGTTTCGCCACACAATGGCTTCATAAAGATACCCAAGAGTTGCACATGTGTCATCTACAACACGGTAGTGAATATATTATGGAGTGACTGAAGATCCGCAAATACATCATTAACCGTGTCTTAGTCAACTAAACTTGGTCAGTTATAGCAGTCAGAATCATTGCAATGTCGTCATACTACACCGACTACATAAGGAATAAGAAATGTGTCATACCTGAGTATCTGTTTCGGCAATAATTCAAAACAGTAATGACATAAAATAACAGCTGGTGAGATCAGTCCTAAAGCCTTGCAGAATTATATGCAGAAGACTGTGAAAAACGAGGTGATCAGTTTTTTAGCCTGAAATGAAAAAGAAGTTAAATATGCAAATAAAATTGTCTCTCAACGATTTAATCATCGACTTTCGTTGCTGGAATACTGTCGAGACACAAATAACCCGCACATAAAAGAGAGAAGCTTACGACGACATTTCGGTCCGACTTAGACCATTGACAAAGTCTTGGTCAATGGTCCAAGTCGGACCGAAACGTCGTCGTAAGCTTCTCTCTTTTATGTGCGGGTTATTTGTGTATCGTTCCAGTCACGGTATTGTGCCTTTTTTGTTATTTATACTGTCGAGACGTGTGTAAAAATGGGTTATCGAAAGACACTTAGATGCCTGCATTTAGAAGATTCCATACTCCGACTGTGACAAATATTATTTTGTGGTAATGATTTAAAACGTCGACTTTAGAAGCATAGATACTCTATGCGCACAGGGAATAATTATAAAAAACCATACCACGGGGGGATAGAACCCGCGGTCGGAGAGTCATAAAATTACAGACTGCATTTCGACACATATAGTAGAGTGAATCGTAGGGTAAACTTTAATGTCTATAAAGTTCTGATGGGATGTAACAAAACAGCAGAGAATGATTAGGATATATGTCAAAAATAGCAATGTTCCTAATTTCAACACTATGAAAGTGAACGTCAGATCATTCTTACATATATTTCTATCTTTAAATTTGACTAACTGTTAATGAACGTAACTGACCCTTAGAAAGTTAGCCATAGAATTCCATTAACGTTAAGTTAAACCACCGTCCTTCATGAATGAGAGTAATTTTATTGTATTTAATACATAGCATAAGCATTCGTTTAGTTGTGGAATTTTGGAAGCAAGTTGTCTATTTGGCTAGCCTTAAAAACAGGTTGGAAAAATTTTGAGACAATTTGGATTCTGTAGGGACCTGCTTGGCGAGGGCCAGCAAGCTCACAACTACTGCTACACGTGTCTGCACTCAGCGTGTTGTTACATGTCGTGCCGATTTGGTAAAATTGGTCAATTAGCAAGAACTCGTTTAAAATTAAGTCCTTTCTAAAAAAAATTCTCTTATACGTTTAAACATACATTTTTTCATTTATGTTAATGTAAAAATTAATAATTTTGTACGAAAAGAACCTTAGAAACCTTGTCTAACTTTATTATAAAAAGCGCAATTTAATTTAGCATAATCCAGCTAAATATATTTTAGATAAGTTTACAATAATTTAATAAATAAACACAATAAAATATATTTTTTTTTTCGTTAGGTTCAGAATGCTTTTTGTGAAATTATTACATGCACAAATTTTCGCTTGCCATATTCGGCAAGAAGAGCGTTGCTATTTAAACCAAAATAGCATGTTTTACCTATTCGGCACGACTTATATTTTCAACGAACCGGCCGTATCCCAACAAGGCAGGTGACCTAACAAAAGTAAAAAAAGCTTTTCTTTTTAAATTTAGTAATTTATACAGGAGATGGGTTACTAGCCCTTTGCTCATAATATTTAAGCTCATGGCTTACGGAGGAAGAATTCTTTTCCACTTCCCTGTGGAGAAAGGAGGAAATAAAGAAGACAAGGTACTATGCAGAAAATAAAAGAAACTCAGATGGGGATACTCACCTAATTGTGGTTGTAGGGGGTCGAGACGCGGCTCCTGGCCCCGCCTCTTCACTGAGTTCTACTAGATCCCCTCTCTCCCTGCTCCATGAGCTTTATCATACTTCATCTTAGAGCTATGTATGGTTCCTGCCTCCACTACCTCACTTGCTAGGCTATTCCACTTGTCTATGACTGAAGAAATACTTCCTAACATCCCTTTGACTCATCTGAGTCATCAACTTCCAATTGTGACCCCTTGTTTCTGTGTCCCCTCTCTGGAACATCCTGTCTCTGTCCACCTTGTCTATTCCATGCAGTATTTTGCATATATTTTGCATATACATGTGTACATATATGTGTGTACATGCATGTGTAGTGTGACCTAAGTGTAAATAGAAGTAGCAAAAGTGGACCCCCGGTTTACAATCAGCTACCAATGCGACCAATTATGCAAGTGTATTTATGTAAGTGCGTTTGTATGTGTATGTTTGGGGGTCTGAAATGGACAAATCTAATTCACAATAATCCTTATGGGAACAAATTCGGTCAGTACTGGCACCTGAACATACTTCTGGAATGAAATAATATCGTAAACCGGGGGTCCACTGTATAACTGTTATCTCGACTGTTTATGAGACAGAAAAAAGACACCAGCAATCCTATCATGTAAAACAATTACAGGTTTTCGTTTTACCCTTGGCAGGACGGTAGTACCTCCCTTGGCGGTTGCTGTCTAGAGTCTACCAACCTTCTACCTAGGATATATATTCACACAGTTGAACACAATTGAGGAGCGCAGGAGTTTGGGGCGCCGACTCCCCCCCCCCCTCCCCAAGCAGTCGGAAATTCGCGTATAACTTTTTACTCCCCATATCTCCAAAATTATATATATATATATATATATATATATATATATATATATATATATATATATATATATATATATATATATATATATTATATTGCGGAGAATGTAGCTGGTCTGCATATTGATCAATATATTGTTTATTATCAATAAGATCGAGTATGTGTTTATATAATACTCCATATTTACTTACGTGTTTGTGTAAATTCACCGAAGATAACACTTAATCCTGATAGTCATTAGTATAAATACGAACTTATTTCCTTCCCCTTCATATCCAAAGATAAATATAAGCGAGAGTAAAAAAAAAATCTATTTCCTTATCCATGGCTTCATGAGGAAACCTGGTAGGTCATGACAGGACACCAATACCTTGTTACACATGACACCGGTGATAAGATTGCTTCGGATCATACCATATAATTATTCTCATGCAATATATACATTGAATGTAATTAATATTCTTTATACATGTTTAAATACGTGTCCTGAGTTAAATGGACTTAATAACTATTTTGTTAGTGGTGCAGTCTATAAAGAAAAACAAGATGTGACCCGTGTAATAAATCCAACACATTTACTTGACAGTGTCTAAGATTAGGTTGATGTAAATGTTGCAATCCATTATTGCTATCAAGATTTTATTCCACTTTTCTTCCTTCAGAGTGATACAATGTAGAACTGACTTGGTCTGCATTTTAGTTAGTGATAAACTAGAAATTACCAAGCCAATTGAGCGCTTGTCTACCAGCAATTGTCGTGAGCAAATTCTTATGTTACTGAGAGAATATGTTGAGGTGTCTCGTTTCCGCTACTTTTCGCTGTTATTTCTCTCGGTATTTACTGGGGAAGCTTTTCCTTATCTTATCAATTATATTTACCCCTAAGAAACCAGTTAGGGAACTATTCAAAGAAATAGAAATAAATTTTCTGATGTTCAAAGAATCATAGAAATGTTTGCTAAGAAAAATGTTATCGTTGGAACAAATGGACAGCCAGGAGAATGGATGTTTGAAGAGGCGTCTGGTCCCTCAGATTATGTCACTAACGTTCCATATTCACCTATTTGTGTTTGCAGGAGTCAAGTCAAAGCTTGGTGTGTGTGTGTGCGTGTGTGTACTCACCTAATTGTACTAATCTATTTGTGGTTGCAGGGGTCGAAACTCAGCTCCTGGCCCCGCCTCTTCACTAATCGCTACTAGGTCCTCTCTCTCTGCTTCCTCAGTTTTGTCATGCCTCGTCTTAAAGCTATGCATGGTTCCAGCCTCCACTACATCACTTGCTAGGCTATTTCACTTCCTGACGTCTCTGTGACTAAAGATGTACTTAATAGCATCCCTCTGACGTGTCTAAGTCGTCAACTTCCAACTCTGACCCCTTGTTTCTGTCCCCTCTCTCTGGAACAGTATTTTGTATGTTGTTACCTGTCTCCCCTGACCCTCCTGTCCTCCAGTGTCGTCAGCCCGATTTTCCTCAACCTTTCTTCGTAGGACATTCCACTGAGCTCCGGAACTAGCCTTGTTACAAACCTTTGTACTTTCTCTAATTTCTTGACGTGCTTGACCAGGTGTGGGTTCCAAACTGATGCTGCATACTCCAGTATGGGCCTGACGTACACAGTGTACAATGTCTTGAACGATTCCTTACTAAGGTATCGGAACGCTGTTCTCAGGTTCGCCAGGCGCCCATATGCTGCAGCAGTTTTCTGGTTGATGTGTGCCTCTGGAGATGTGCTCGGTGTTACGTTCACCCCAAGATCTTTCTCCGTGAGTGAGGTTTGCAGCCTTTGTCCACCTAGCCTATATTCTGTCTGGGTCTTCTTTGCCCTTCCCCAACCTTCATGACTTTGCATTTAGCAGGGTTGAATTCTAGAAGCCAGTTGCTGGACCACGTGTACA